TAGCGATGGGATATCAGGTGCATGCACCGTCTCTTCAGACTCAGAATGGAAAAATGAAAATCTGTTGGGCAATGCGCCACCACTAGTGCCATCAGTTACGCAAGCACCGCCAAATTTCACCTCTGCTTCTGAAAAAGAGTCATCTGAATTAAAGTCTATCTTCCGCTCATCCTGGCCCAAATGTGAGAGCCCAGTCGATGAAGTTCTTCTCTCTTCTTTTGGACGTTGAAACATCAGCTTCAAAGCCCTCATTGGGGTGTATTTCAGAGCAGCTAAACTTTTTTGAAACCGATAGGGAGCCCCAGTGGTGTTTGAGGTAGCATATCTTGGATTAGCATCATCAATGGAAAAGCTCCTTACAATTGGTTCTTCGTGTTTAGAGTTGTTGTCCTGTCTCTCCTCTCTAATGAACTCGTTTATAACTCCAAAATCAATGCCATTGAGCTTCACTTGTTCTCTCTCCATCGGGAAACAAACATCTTCTTCTGTCTCTTGTGAACTTCTTGATCCGGTAGAATCAGCCTCACTGGTATATGAAACACGAGATTCAGCTCTTTCTCTGGTATTAGCGTCCTTAAATTCATTGGCCCCATTCAGTGTAAGATGGTGCATGGTATTCTCTGACGATCTCACAACATTTTCGTCCTCTCTGAACACACTATTCTTGTGGGCTATCTTTTTCCCAACTGATGACGACATCTTTGAAAACGAAGCAGCTCTTGATCTACCGACTGAAGACCTTCTCCTGTTAATGGGTTTTCCACTTTGGGCATTTCCATCAGCATTTGTTGGATGTGAATTACCGCGGTATGGAGTTGCTTGAGATTTATTAGGTACAAACCTGGACGATTCTTCAACGCCTCCACTTCTCCCATCATCAATATGACTTCTGTGGTCATTCAAACCATCATCAAAAGATGAGGAAATAGATTTTTTATCAACCTTTTGCCCAGTTTCTATTGGCAACATCCTTTCTTTTGAGTTATCTTTATGTCTACTCTTGTATATTATTAAAAATTCTTCTTAGATGTTCCTCGACATTCGTGTAGCGAAAGACTTGCTTAGTTTTTCATCAATAAGTCACGGTGATTAGATATTCTTGCGGTTGAAATTTGAGTAAGATCAATCATCTGTCAAGACAAAGTTGTGTGTCTTAGAACGTGTTACTTTTATATGAAATAATGAAGAACTAGAAAAAGCGTCTATCCTTCACACTAAGATTCTTTTTCGAATTATTCATTTGGAAATATGCTTGGCTATTTATAAACATAATTCCATAACCACACGGGTGCGTGTATACAGAGGTAAGAAAAAGACGTTTTTCTATTGTTTTTGAATTGTTAAGTTTTAAGCCAAACAATGACAGAAAGAACACAATAGGGATGAATTGTGGAAAATGCCAGATATTCAAAAGCAACATCTTCGGACCGGGCAAGACGTGACAAAGCTGAATAATAGAGGGAAAAGCTATACATATCCATTTTTAGAAAAAATTTGCACATTTATTTATAGAAATATTCTAGTGTTTAGAGCAAAATAAGCTGATGAGAATCTCGGCACTTTCAAATATCGGCTATACGCCACTACGAGGGGCTATGTTTCTTGACAAGTGTCCTCTGTTATTTCTGATCTCATCACTCTTGTCTTTTACCCTTTAGCCAGTTGGTGCTACCAGTTACTGCCAAGCAAAACCCATGACAATAAACTTAACTCCAATTCCACGCATTAGCAAAAGTGGATGAAATTGTAGAAATAATTTGATATTAACTATGTTGGAGGGAACTTTCAAGCTTTTCAAAGAAAAGTGCCTTCGCGAACGAAAATAGCAAACATTTGACACAGTCGTATACTTTTTTACACCCTCATGTAGCGCACGAAGCGAGGGAACAAAAACAGCTTTATAAGTGCTGCTAAATTTGGAAAAATCGGAGAAAAATAGAAGAAATTTTCTTTTGAGCAGCCGCCAAGAACAATGACCGAGGGTCAAGAACAGTACAAGAGTGCAATAGAATTACAACTGCATACAGAGGAGTCAGTTAGGTTCTTAGCTTCTGCATCGGATTGTTTGCAATTATTTCTGGATTCAATCTATAAAAGGGTTTTACTCTGCGTAGGACGTTCATTTATATACTCCCTACGAACATATACAAGCAAGTTCTAAGTTCTAACAACGATTGTCTTTAATGTACAAAGCTCTAACAAAAAGTTTAAGTTATATGCAATAGTAACAAACGCAACGCAACTTGATTTATATACCATCCAATGGAGTTGGTTGTCAAATTTAGAATACCCAATTCAAGTACCCTTTCCACCTACTCTTCTTTTCGTCCTGACTGCTTTCTTCCAACTGTGAGTGGTACTCAGCTTCATGGGCCTCAATTTCGTCAAGACCGGTTGTCAAATCAGCATCAATAGGCTTAATAAATTTGGTCTTCTTTATTACTTTCCAGACAATGAAGACAGCCAACGAAACAAAGATCATAACGTAACTGAACAAGAAATCATCAACTGTCCACATACCGGGCATAAATACTTGGTAACCCAAGATTCCAATAATGCACCAATACATAAACGTAGTGAAATAAATGGAATATGGTTGAAACCACGATCTGTAGGTGAATTTTGAACGGTCGATTCCTTGTGCTTTCACCGCGTGGTAAAATCCAATGTAAATAATGCCCATGAATCCATAATTAAGAACTTGGGAACCCGTACACAAATTGACCATATAGTTCAACGCCTTACTTCCCGACTTTCCAAGCTGTAACAATGACAATAAGGCGAAACAGCAGGAAACAAAGACACAGTAAATAGGAATACCTCTTTTAGTACAGATTTTGAAAAATCTTGGCACAAATCCCTTCTTGGCCAAATTGTACAAACATCTCGAAGAAGTGTATGTGTATGAGCAACCAGCTGAGAAAGCCGACGTTAGTACAACCCCATTGACTATGTGTGGTAGCACCTGAATTCCCAAATTTTGCATCGCAACAACGTATGGCGAAGAAGCAGCACTTGAAGTGTCTGACGTTAATGCGACATATTTGGGATCGTTGTAGGCAATCAAGATTGAAACCGATAACGCACCGCCAATGTAAAATGCCACCAAACGGTACAACACAGTCCTAAAAGCAATGGGCATATTGATTCTGGGATTCACGCATTCACCAGCAGTCATACTCAAGTATTCACTACCAACACAAGTAAATGAACTTGACAATCTGAGTGAGGCCAAGAAACCTTGGAACCTACCTAAATTCCCAGTTGCATATTTCATTCCAATGGGACCACCAGCAACATGCCAATTTCTAAAACCAAAAGCATCATGCTGAGGGTTTCCACCACACATGGTAACCAATGTGAAAAATACCAACCCAATGCAAAGCGCCAACTTTGCCAACGAAAACCAAAACTCGCATTCACCAAACACGCGGACTGCGTACAAATTGATGGCTGCATAAATGGCAATTTGAATAACAAAAGTGATGGCAGGCGAGTAATCATCACGCCAGAAATGAATTATACCATTGACGGCAGTAATTTCAAACGGAATATAAAGACTTTGCATAATCCAAAAATTGACTGAAACCGCAGCTTCAAAAGCAGGGTCAATGACGCGACCAGCCATATTTAAAAATGGGGCATCTAGTGGCATGTACAGCACCATTTCTCCAGTAGCCGTAGTCAACAAAAGAATCAACAATGTAGAAATGCAATATGATAATAATAACCCTAAAGGTCCACCATTAACTAACCCTGTGGTACCAATAGTGACAAACAAACCGGTACCAATAGAACCACCAATGGCTATAAGTTGCAAATGTCTATTGTACAATGTTCTCTTTGTGTGACCTGGACCATCTACGCTAGAAGCCTTATCGGTGTTGATACTACTTGTATCAGTAAACAAGTCATGTTCTTCATTGGTTCTCTTGGTGATAACTTTTTCTCCAAGGGAGTTTTTATCGTCGTGATCGATGATCTCTTTTTCATCTCTTCTGAACCACATAGTTCAAATGTTCATACGTGATAAGGGGGATATATTGATATATTGTTGAAAGGGAAGGAAAGATAAGCGAAATGGAAGTTTTGAAAGTGGAGAGTGATTTGATAAAAATAGTGAGTTGCTTCAGGGAGGATGACTGTATGTGTGTGCGTATATATATATATATATATACTTGTCTGAATAAACTTGAAGAATGGAAAGGGACGAAATTACGAAATAAGGTAAAACCACAAGGAAAACGGCCCTCAATTTATTTGATTTCGGATCTTTGATCCATTTAAGGTGAAAAAATTTATTTCTGCAAGACTAAAGTAAATAAATTGATTATCGCCGTATAGTGAGATACATTATTGTAGATATGCATATGTTCTATTGTTCCTCTCCCCAGCCCCATTAAGATTTTACAAGAGATATTTTGTTTGTTTCTTGTGTTTAGTTTAGTTTTGCTTTGTTTTGTTTTGGTTATTTTGTTCTTTATTTTTTACTTGTTTTGCCAACCCATTAATTAACATTTTTGCCATATTGGAAATCTTGCATATATATATATATATTACTATTGTTAGTTCTGTTTTCTTAGAAGAAAATTTTTTCATGTCAGATGTGTAACATAGAGAGAAGTACAAAGGTGAGATTTGGTTTCTGATCTGTTCAGTGAATATATTACAGAATAAGGGAGAAGAGTATCCCTTAAATTCAGTGTTTTTTGGGGATCTTTTTTGATATTGATGTTTGAAGTTCTTTTTATCGATATGAAAGTTTAAAGTTTTTAGGAACAACTTTTTATTTTTTTTTTTTATTATTTTTTAGACAATACATAGAAGCATTCTTGCAATAACACACAAAGCCCTTGCAGAATTATCAAACAACCAACAATTAATAAAAGAGGAAAAGTTCTTTGCAAATAGATAGATAGATATATATAGAAAGACAGAAAACAATAGCAATCACACAAAGTTTAGAGATATGAATGTTGTTTCGAATGTTGTTTCGTCTTAAACTTTAGACAAAGATCTCATGGGCAATAGCGTAGTGTATTCCTATTTTAGACAGATAGTGTTCAATAGTGTCAGATATATATATTCACGTCATTCAGTGTTAGCGCTGTTGTCTTGTGACGTAATTGATTCCTTTCTCTAGCTTTCTTTCTTCCTTTCTTTACACCAGATGATGAAGGAAAAGGACGTAAAAATAAAAGTAACAATAAAAAACAATAGGAATGCTGTATATATGTGTGTACGTTTGTATGTATTTATGTTTGCAAGTATGCACGAAAATAAGCACCCCTCTTTCTTCCTCAATACTGATTATCTTCTCTTACTCCGGTTCTTCTTATAATGCAAATGCATTCTTCTATGTCTGTAAAGAGTATATTGTTTTGTTTTAGAGGTGGAATTATTTTGTGTTTTTTAAAATTAAATTAAATTAAATTTATTTCTTTTTTTTTTCTCTTTTTTTCTTTGCAAACAGTTATATGCAGTTTCAAACCAATGCACCAAAGAACAAAGGAATAAAATCGAATCTATTGTCTGTCTGGTTGTTTCAGGAGGTCACGGGATGTCTAGTATGTACCAACCAACGCAAGATTTGGTGAATCTTTGGCCAAGTTATGCAAAATTGAGACGAGGAGACCGAAACGAATCTATCAAGACCCATCATGTCATGGTTACTTTTGGTTACTTCCTGTCATATTCTGCTTTTTCTTATTTTTTTTCTTCCCCATCATAGCAACAATATAAAAATATATATTCCTTTATATGTATTGCTTCTTTTTTGATAATCAAATACGATGATGGACAAGCTTTTAGTTAGTCAAAGTATGCATAGAAGAAAGGCCAAAAAAAAAGAAATAACGTTCCTTTCATTCTCTACTTTGTTGTTGTTGTTGTTGTTGTTGTTCAGTTTAGGTTTTTGGACACAGTTACACGTCCTTTCCATATGTATATATCTATATATAGCTATAATTTAGATACCGTATGATTATTCTAAATTAGGCAATCTAGCTTAATTGTTTTTTATTGTTTAAAAGTCAAGAAAAAAAAACACACATTTCTTGCATAATTGGTACATATTACACTACTTCAATTTAATGCACCTTGGGTTAAAGAGTTGCTACAATACTTGATCTGATGGCTGACTTGTGAGACCAGAAAAATGGGTGGAGGGATGGATAAAAGAGGAATACAAAGAAAAGAGATGACATGCTGTTAATCACGTGCAGGTAGTAAAATAGGTCGAGAAAATATACGAAATATGCCATTTTGGGGTCAGAGGCAGAGAAAAATTTTAATATGCCCCAGCTCTCCAGGCGGCGTCCAAAAAATTATGGATTTTTGTAGGGGAGGGAAGGACTGGAGGACTG